TTCTCCATCAGTAACATCTGTTTCTTACTGTTCTTTCCTCTTGGGTTCTTTCTTTCCTTTTATTTCCCTGGTTCTCTTCCGTTTTCCTGGTTCCTGAAGTTACATCAGGATATATACTCACATATAAGGATTTGATGCTAGGACCCACAAATGAGGGAGAATACATGTCTTTTGCTTTTCTGAGTCTGTGTTACTTCACTAACTATAGCAGTTTCTAGTTCCATTCATTTACCTGAAAATTTCATGATTTCATCTTCTTTGCTGTTGAATAGAACTCCATTGTGTAAATGTACCACATTTTCATTATCCACTCCTCAGTTGAGGGACACTTAGGTTGCTTCCATCTCTTAGCTATTGTGAAAAGAGAAGCAACAAACATGGTTGTCTAAGTTTCTCTGCAAAAGAATGGTTCTTTGGGTATTGCCAAGGAGTGGTATACCAGGGTCAAATGGTAGATTCATTTTTAGTTTTTTAGAGTTCTGCACACTGATTTCCATAGGGGTTGCTTGAGTTTGCATTTCCACCAGCAGTGGAAGTTCCCCTTTCCCAACATCCTCACCAGCATTTAGTATCATCTGTTCTTTTCATCTTAACCAGTCTGACTGGGGTAAGGTGAACTCTTAAAGTGGTTTTAATTTGCATTTTGTTAATTATTAACGTTGTTCAAAACTTTTCAAGATGTTTCTTAGTCATCTTTATGCTGCATATTTGAAAGGCCTTTTCTATATCTACTGAAATGACCATGTGGTTTTTGTCTTTGAGTCCATTTATATGATTTATGACATTTATTGACTTACTTATATGGAAGCATCCCTGCATCTCTGGAATAAGGCCTGCTTGATCATGGTGGGTGATGATTTCATGTGTGTCTGTATGTGGTTTGCAAGTATTTTCTTGAGGATTTTTCCATCTAATGTTCTTTAAGGATATAGGTTTACGGTTTTCATTTTTGGTTGTGTCTTTACCTGGTTTGGGTATTAGAATGACGCTGCCTTCATGGAAGGATATTGGGAGTTCTCCCTCTGTTTCTATCTTTTAGAATATTTTAAGTAGTATTGGTTGTAGATATTCTTTAAATGTCTGATAGAATTCTACTGTGACTCCATCTGGGCCTGGGCTTTTTTTTAGTTGAGAGGTTTTGTATTTCTGGTTCAATTTCCTTATATGTTATGGGTCTGTTTAAACTGTTGATCTCTTCAAGGTTTAGCTTTGGTGGTTCTCATGGTTTTAGATAACCATTCATTTATTTTAGGTTTTCAAATTTAATAGAGTATAGGTTTTTAAAATATTGCTTTATAACGTTGTGAAACTTTTTGTTGTCTGTTGTGATGTTTCTCCTTTCATCTCTGATTTTGTTGATTTGGATTTTCTCTTTCTTTCTCTTGGTTAATCAGGCTAAGCGCCTGCCTATCTTGTTTAGCTTTTCAAAGAACCAGTTCTTAGATTTATTGATTTTTTTTATTGTTGTCTTTGTTTCTATCTCATTAATTTCTGCTCTGATTTTTGTTATTTCTTCTTGTCTGCTGGGTTTGGGCTTACTTTGTTCTTGCCTTTCCAGATTCTTGAGTTGCAATGTTAAATGATTTATTTGTGCTCTTTCTAAATTTTAATGTGGGCACCTAGAGCTATAATTTCCCTGTCAGGACTGTTTTCAAAGTGCCCCTGAGGTATTTTTTTTTTGTATTATCATTTACATTTAGTTCCATGAATATTTATTTTTCTTAATTTCTTCTTTGACCCACTCATCGTTCAGGAGTGTGCTGTTTAATCTCCACATGTTCGTTTAGTTACTAGGACTTCTTTTGGTGTTTATTTTAAGCTTTATTGTGCTGTGGTCTGATAGAATGCATGGAATTATTTTAATTTTTGTGTTTGTTGAGGTTTGTTTTGTGCCTGAATATGTGGTTAATTTTTGAGAAATTTCCATGAGGTGCTGAATAGAAAGTGCATTCTTTGAGACTTGGGTAAAATATTCAGTAGATGTCTGTTAGGTCCATTTGATGTATGGTATCATTTAACTCAGATATCTTTCTGTTTATTCTTTGTCTTGTTGACCTGTCTAATGGAGACAGTGGGGTATTGAAGTCCCCTACTATTAATGAGCAGGGGGTTAATATGTGTCTTAATGTCCTGTAGTTCTCTTTTTATATATGTTCATAATTATAATATCTTCTTGGTCCATTGCTCCTTTGATCACAATGAAGTGACCCTCTTTATCACTTCTGAGTAGTTTTAGTTTGAAGACTATTTTGTCAGATACTAGAACTGCACCCCTACTTGTTTCTTGGTGACATTTACTTGGAATACTCTTTTCTATCCATTCACTTTAAGATAGTGAGTTTAAGTAGAGTGAGATGGGTTTCTTGCAGACAATAAAAGGAAGAATTTTGTTTCTTAATCCATTCAGTTTGACTGGGGAGTTTAGTTCATTGATATTTAAAGTTATTATTGCAGGGCTGAAGAGATGGGTCAGTAGTTAAGAACACTGACTTTTCTTGCAGAGGACCCAGGTTTGATTCCCAGCTAACAACTGTCCGTCACTCTAGTTCCAGCAGATCTGACAGCACCTTCTGTCCTCCCTGGGCATTACACGACATGGGTGCACTTACCTACTTGCAGGCGTTACACTCATACACATAAAATAATAAAATATTTAAAGTTATTGAAATATGTATTGGTTGCCATAATTTTGACTTCTGTTTCCCTTCTTGGTCGAACTTTGTGTTTCCAGAATTATACCATCAACTAGTTTCTTTCTGTTGCCCCCAGGGTGTAGTTGTTCCTTTCTCCATTCTTTGTAATGCTTCAAGGACTCTGAAGTACTGCTTTTTAGGACATCTATTCTTTCAGGTTTTTCATGTGGTGGCAGATTTTTTTTTCCCCTTCAAGTATAACTGACATTTTATTCTGGGTAAAGTGTACTGGGCTGGCATGTGTGGTCATTTAGAACTGAAAACACCTTGGTCCAGGCTCTTCTGGCTTTCACTTTTTGCATTGAAGAGTCAGCTGTAATTCTGATGGGCTTTCCCTTGTATGTGATTGTTTTCTTTAGCAGCTTTCAGTGTTCTCTCTTTGTTCTGTGCATTTAGTGTTTTTACTATGATATGCCAGGGGTGGTTCGTTTCTGGTCCTGTTTATTTGGTTCTATTTGCCTTTTGTATTAGAATGCACTTGTATTTTCTTAATTTGGGGAATTTTTTTTTGATAGTCCTGTTGCACATCTGGTCAGTACCATTAACCCGAGCTGCTTCTCCTTCCTCTAGGACTATAAATTTGGTCTTTTCATGTTGTCCCACATTTACTGCATATTCTATTGCTGTCTTTTTTTTTTTTCATAAGCTTTGCTTCACAGGTTCAATTCTTCAACTTTATAACCCAGTGTCATAGTCTGTTTTCCATTTCATTCATTCTATTGGTGAGGCTTTTTCCTGTTATTTCAAATTGACTTATTGAGTGTTTCCACTTCCTTCTTCATTTCAGCCTGAGTTCTCTTCCATATTTCTCTTTTGGGTTTTGGTCAGAAGTTTATCCCTATCTTCTTTTAGTTTCTCTCTCTCTCTCTCTCTCTCTCTCTCTCTCTCTCTCTCTCTTCTCTCTCTCTCTCTGTGTGTGTGTGTGTGTGTGTGTGTGTGTGTTCTTTAAACTTATTGAATTCTTGATGTCTTCCTGAGGAGAATGAGTTGGAACCAAAGCTGGGCCTGCCTATGAGACAGGCCAGCAGGGGACAGGTGGGGGGATCGGGTTAATCTTCTTTAAACATGGCTCAAGGCAGGACAGCTCTGACCTCCTGTGACAGCTCAAGGTCTACACATCATCCTGGAAGTAGCTACCTTTATGTCTGGAGCAGCCACTAAGGCACCACAGACTCCATGGCTGAGGCCACATAATCATGTCAGGAAACAAGCCTGAGTAGATTTCATACATTTTTTAACTCCTCTCAGTGCCATTCCTCCTCAGACACTCTTTTTTTTTATTTTTATTGAATTTTTGTGCATTTCATAAAGAACATCTCAATGAATCTTAATCATCTTCATACCCCTGTCCCCACTGGCGCCCTCCCATAACCCTCCCCCACAGAAGCCCATATACTCTGTCATCCCTCTTAAGACCCACTATGTCAAGTCAGTGTCCCTGGATTTTCCCCAGTGCAAATCCTTCCACTGAGGTCTAGTCAGCCTATCTAGAGTCCCTTGAGCATCTAAAACTTGATACCGTAGTGTTTGTGTAGTGGTTCATTAGGTAAATTCACTTACTGGGACATCTGGTGACCTTAGTTCTTTCTCTGGAATGCACATAAAGATAGAAGGAAAGAACTAACTCCCAAAACTTATCTTCTGATAGAATTACTTCCCATTCCCACACTGAAGCATATAATCCCTTAGAAAATACATGAACTTTCTGTTTGAAAGGGAAATGTTTTCCCATGTTATTTTCTTTTTATTTGAATGTTCTTATGTAAACTGATTAAGTCCCTGGAAACAAGTGCTTCTAACACTTATTGAACAACTACAAATATTTATTCCGCAACAATAGATATGAAACAATAATAACTCAAAACATACTATTGGATAAGGCACTTAAGCATGGTTACTAGTGGCGATGGGTAAGTTCTTTTCTTTAGACTAACTGAGGACGCCAGAGTGGCTATTTCCCTTTCCTTGATTCCCTTGTGGGTCCACATCTATGTTGCTAGGTCTCCATGTGGTTTAAGAATGGCAGAGCCTTTTGTACCATGTCTTCCCCACAGGCTAAGACTTCCATACTGGAATCCTCTGCCCACTGTTGCAGGCCATACAGAATGCTCTGGGGTTCCTCCAAACAAGAACACATTTTTGTCACTTTACTCCCAAGCACAGTGCTTATGTTCACTTGGCTCTTCACACACTGTTACACTCACCAGAGAATTTGCATATCACTCTCATCTCTGCATGCAAGTCTAAGATAAAAGCTCATCTGTGTCTAGTCTTGACTGCTCAGGACCTCTCAGTCAGCTTCCCAGAATGAGGTGCCCTGCTCAGCTCCTGGGGCTGGTTATGCTTTGGATCCCTGGTAAGGACAGATGGAGATGAGGAAGGAGAAAGAGGTGGGAATGTGCGCTCTAGACATCTATGATGCCCATGTTTCCTGTGAGGAGTATGGACCTTACCCTTCAGGATGGACCTGGGAAGTTTACATCTGTGAGGGAGAGGAAGATTTCAGAAGGAACACGGACCTGTACTCTGCTGAAGACTCTGACACTGGTGGACAGGGATAGAATAGAGAATTCCAGATGTGCCATTGTGATTTGCCAGTGCCTTTTACATACATTGAATATATTAGACCAGTATGAAAATGTGACTAAAAGGAAATAAATAACAAAGAAAATATAAAGTCTCTTTACATTTGTTCATAACCTGGTCTGTCTTATCATTTTAGGATCCAGTGGAGACATTGTGAAGACACAGACTCCACTCTCCTTGCCTATTGCTCCTGGAGAGTCGGCCTCCATCTCTTGCAGGTCTAGTCAGAGCCTCTTACATAGTGATGGAAACACCTACTTGGAGTGGTACCTACAGAAGCCAGGCCAGGCTCCACAACTCCTGATCTATGAGGTTTCTAACCGGTATTCTGGGGTCCCAGACAGGTTCAGTGGCATTGGGTCAGGGACAGATTTCACACTCAAAATCAGCAGAGTAGAGCCTGAGGATGTTGGAGTTTATTACTGTATGCAAGGTTTACAGTTTCCTCCCACAGTGATACAGCCCTTAACAAAAACCAGCCCCCGTGATGTGCCCCAGCTGCCCTCATGTGTTGCATGTCTGGGAGCAGCACAGCACGTTCTCTGAGGCTCTGCAGGAGGAAAAGTTTGAAGGACTGAATAGAGCACATTATGGAAGTTGCATCTGAGATCTCCTTGCTTCTTTGCAAGGGCCACTGAAAACTGCGATGATTTGTCATGCCATGAACAGCAGGTGATGGAAGAGGGATCAAGTGCTCTGAGGACAACCAGGCATGAAGAAGAACGCTAACTGGTGTGATTGTCATAATCCTCCCTGCCCTGCTCCCATGCAGAGATTAAGTTCGTTACCAATTGCAGCCATGGAATGGAATTCAAGGCTGATGCACACTAAAACCATACGTGCTTTTAAAATCTCGGTTTTGTGATTCTCATTTATCTGATTCTTCCTTCTGTTTGGTCAGTCAGAGCAAGTAGTAGAGCACGTGCAGCAGTCAGTTTGTTGTTGTTAAGATGCTGTTATTTTCTCTGCCCTAAATTCGTCATTTCTGTTTTTCTTAGCAAACTTTTTTTTTCTCTAATAATGAAGAAGCAAAGCACTGGATCCCACTGATCTCAGCAACAGAAGAAAATCCATTCCCACTCTCAGGTTTTAGATACATGAAACAACTTTGGAAAATTTACTCAAAAGTGAAGACCTGATGTTTTAAAGTTTAGGTGATTCTCCTACATACCATGTTGACATAGATCAGGCATTTTTTTGAATCCCAAAATCAGTGCATTAGAACAAAGGGCTAAACCTGTAAAATCTGGAAAAGAAAGAAATATGTGTTCTAATCAATGAAATTGAATGTTTAAAACATGAAAGTAGATTTTCTCCCAAAGAAAAATAAGAATTTGTAGACTCTCAAAAGAGGATAGATAACGAGAATAGAAATCAGAGACAGACCCACAGTTTCTAGAATCTGAACATACATGACCAACTTGCAGCTCACTCATTTTTTATTTATTTTTATTTTTTAGCTGTGGAATTTAGAGGTAATCTATGAAGCAGATAGAAACAGATTTTTTTTCTTGTCAGGAATCCCAGAAGTGAAGGACCACTGTGTGCATTTTAAGGTTTCTAGCTCTGCTCCTTGGTGGGCGTCCCACCACAGGGCCTCTTTTTGACCCGCTTTCACCTAGACAGGGACAACTAACATCTTTCCAGCCATTATCTATTCCGGTTCTAGAAAGACATCCACCAGGACACAGACCGTTTTCCAAGATGCAGGGATTCTGTCTCCTTCATAGTAGCTGTTCACTGGGGTGGAATCCTGCTGACTATGTCAAGTGTTGGGGTTAAGTTTAAGGGCTTGAACAGAAGGCTTCTAGGAGCCAGGCAGTTAAAAGCGGTTCATAGAGCCACTATCAAATGTTTCCTATTTTATGTTCTCTGGGTGAGGGCACATAACCTTGGTCCAAAGGAAATCACACAAAGGTGTCTTCTTACCAGAATTTCATATAGCCAGTTATATTTACTTCTTACTGGTAATTTCTAGGAAATTAGGTAGCAGTATCTTAACTAAATCATTCCAGATATACTCCTGCCCCATATCATCTAAAGTTAATTTGGCTCTTACAGCATTTCTTTCCATAAGGCTTTGTGCCTGTTGGGGCTGGAGGCAGTGGCTCAGGCAGTGCAGAAGTAAATCAGTGTTTACTTAGATGAGACCCCTGAAAATGGGTTGTCTGTTGGTAGAATCCCATGATGGCAGACCTGTAAATGAAGCAGAGTCCCATGCCTGCTTGATAGGTTCTTTCTGCCCTAGGAGTACAGATATGCTTTTAGAACATCTAAGGATCTAGAACAGACACTAAAATGTCTGAATGTAGCATAACAAAGAGAAGAGCCTCACACGTGTTTATGGATGTTGCCTGGCCACTTCTATGTGGAGTAAGAAATGTATCTGAAGCCAACATGTTCCCCCACAGGGAGAAACTCACATCTGACACTAGAAACTTAGACAAAACTCTATGGTCAGGGACTGTTGTAGGCCCCATGATGAAGCAAATGCTATTGCTTTGTTAAATCATTTTCCTGTAGTCACTAAGGTACTTTCCAAATATTTGGGTTTCCAACCACAGGTTATTACTGCTCTCGGTGTTCTTTTGAGTATTTTTTCTATTTACCATCTTTCCCCCCACATGTTTTGTAGTCGAATAAGTTCTCCTAAGTCTTGGCCAACCACAAACTTCTGGAGAGGGAGAGGTTAACTAAAGGGCAGCGGGGCTCAGTACCATGCTGGAGTTGGAGAGAATAATCATATAAATGTGTCACCCCCTCCAAGGCTTAAGGACTCTTGTAGAAGAAGGGTGACAAGAAGAACGGAAAGTAGACAGAAAGGGATAAGTGTCGATGGTCCTCACTGCTCCCACACTGCTGCCCTCTTTATGACTCTAGCTATGACTGCTTGCTGGGGAACATTACAACGGGCGTTGTCGAATGTTGAAGTTCCTTCATAAAAGCAAGGGCAGTGAAGGTCATGGGGCTCTCACCCCATTATTCAATCACCTCCAAATCATCTGTTGCAATTCTGCCATAATTTTACATGTCAGTGGGGGAGGAACCAAATTACATAGTTTGGAAAGGACTAGGGGAGGGGTGCCTCTATGGCGCAGTGGGTAAACCGTCCTTCTGGGTACCGACTTGTTCAGTGGGGAAGCTTTGGGTCACCCACACCACCTCACCCATGCTCTACCAGAAAGCCCAATACCACTGGATCCTCAGCAGGAACATTGGTGGACGTAAACTTTGGTTCATCGTGGTGGCATAGGTGGAGGGGGATGGACAATGCCTGGTTTTCCCCACCTAGGAAAAAAATTTGTACTCGTGATCTAAGCAACTTCACCTTATGTTGTAAGAGCAAACAAGCAAGTCAGCAGAGCCTGGGGCCCAACTCCCTGTCACAGGGCAGAATTGAAGCTACAACCATGTGACTCATTGAAGGAGGAGAGTCAGACAAAGAGGAAGTAGACACTACTGCAAAGAGAGGAGAGGAACTGCTTCAGAAATCCTCAGAAGTGGTGATGCGATGCCTTTGACCTGCAGAGAACAGGCAGGATGACATAACTAAAAGATGTAAGGCAAGTCAAACACAGCTCCAGCTGAATGGTCTTCAGGGTGCGATGGGAAGAAGAAGTCTGGTATGACATACAATTCAGGTAACACTAGGGAAGGGACAGACAGTCCCATGCTCAAAACAAGCCTGCAGCCATTGCCAACCCAAATCTAACTGTGAGGGTTTTTAAAAATTATTTATTTAATAACCACATACTTGGAAGAAGCATTTCATTACAACAACATTGACATATTCAATAAAAATTTTCTGAGCTAAGATACATCTCTTTCAAAATTGGCTGTAAATTTTTAGGTTTACAGTTGAATTATTACAGTTATAATTGGACTCAATATAAATCCTATAAGACATAAAATTAAATGAGGTTTTAACCTATAAAAAAGATCTCCAATTCATTATTAAAATACACAGTTTCATACAGAAAAATTCTTTTTCAATGCAAGGACATTAAGATGTTTCCACATGTGTTTCTAATCTCTATATATCTGATTGGTACTAGTCACAGTCGATTACTTTCTGAGTTCCTTGGCATCTGAGCATGGATATAAAGTCATCAGGTAGATTTCAATGGTAATGTTTTTCACACCTACTAATTATTAAGGAGCAAATTTTTATGCTTTGAAGAATTATTATTTTTTAATCATTTTTAAAATTTTTAATAACTACATGATTAGAAAAAGCATTTCACTACAGCTTTAACATCTTCAGTAACACAAGAATACATCTCTTTCACAAGTGGGTGCAAGTTTCTAGGTTCACAGTTG